AGAAAGAGAACAGGAAAATGCCATGAGACGAAAATAAAAATATATTTTCAAATCTTACTCAGATGTTAGAACAATAATAATTTTAAAGAATTTTCTAAAAATAACAACAAAAGAAACAAGTACATGCAAATGCACAGGATAATCTTGACTGTATCATACATCTGGAAAATATAAGTGCACATGAAAGAGCTGCTCATTTTAAGGATTTAATTTAATAACTCATCCTGCTCAAGAAGATTAACACGTGGCTATAACAAACCTGCTTGCCATCAGATTTCAGCCCAACGTGGTCATAGAAAGATTTCAGATAGCCCTAGTTGTATTACTCTAGGATAGCAGCATCCCTTTTCATTTTGCATGGCTACTGTTGCTCCAACTTTGCTCCAAGATGTCCTGCATATTTTTCACCTATTAAATGATGCATCTGACTTGGCTGCATTGTTGTGGAACCTCCAAGTAACCTTACAATGTTTAAATCCTACATTGTGCCACATCCTCATGACTTGATTTTTAGACTGAAAACTGCATAGGAAAGCAACAAATAACTGCATCTTGTACCAATTAAGAGGCACCTTTTGTAAGTACTTTTGAAATGAAGACTCTGGCAGCTACAAATCCAAAATACTCTGTGTGACAGTTCCCTATGGAAAGTGTGTCAATTCCCAACAAATGTCAAATACTAACTTTAAAACAGGAGACAAAAGCTGAAGAGGAAATGGACATCCCTGCCTTCTCCGCTCATGCACTGTGCTGCTTTCAGAGCTTATTTCTGAAAGAAAAAGCAGTCTGAAGGAACATCTGGCAATATGACAGCAGAGTTTTCACCGGTGATTTTTCCAAAGAGTGTAATGAAGCCCCTGGTAATGTCAAAGTCAGCCCTGATCTGCAGCATTTTCCCAAATGCCAAGCACCAAACAAAGGGAGTAGAGGCCAGGAGGAATGTGTGAAGGCACAGGTATTAACTGAAAAGACATTTATGTGAATTGGTTCCATAATTTTATATTTGTTTCCTGAGCAAGTGCTTTCCAACAATTCAAATTACCGTGTACACTGAAAATTGATAGGTTGTATAACTCCTTATCTCATGGCACTGATTTTAGCTTTTTAACAAACTCTTACAGTCACAGTTTTCAGCATGCTGGTGATGTAAGGAGTCATTTTACAACTAACTGACGATCAGGAGTGACCTTTTAAGCAACTGAATAGGAATGTGAAAATGTACAGTGCTCTTTTTCACCTCAAAGATGATAAACTGACTCAGACTGCCTCAGAAGACTTTGCTGACACCTCTTACTAATATAATTTTGAGAGAAAGCTTCTATTATATGAACTGCAAGTACCTCCTCAAGTTTCTCTGGGAAGCACACTTTCTAAGGATGATGTAGTCTATAAAAAGATGTCACAGGCCAGAACCTCCATAAATTAAATTAAGTGTTAGAATCAGTGTCCAGTTTCATTTTCTCTTTATTATTTTGTCCTGAAACATATTTTTTTCTTATTAACTTATATAATTAATTGAAAGAGCACAGCAAAAGCATTTTAATGTCACCGTGATAGGAGAGGATTGCACATTCTTTTAGCATGGAAGAAACTAGTCAAAACCAGCCAAGTGCAGTTGTGTCAGGATCTCTGTTCGAGATACTGCTGTAGGGTGGGACTAAATCTGTTCAAATAATGGAGAAACTAGAGCTACAAAAGGCCTGTGTGAGCCAAGTTAAATGGCCAAAAGGAAACCCAAGCATGTGAAAATATCTGGCCTGAGAGCATCTTGCAAATGTAAAATTGAAGAAATCCACAAAAGTTCATGAAAACTTTTAAATTAAACTAAACAGTGCAATTTTTGCTTTAAGGGATATACAGGTATAACATGAGATTATGTGAACCCCCATGGGTGAACACTGCTTTCTGTGGTACTACAGGCCTCTAAAAGCAGAGAGGATTTCATAACATATCCTTTCTTCTCGTAATGATCTGATGGACAGCTATTGGAAGAAGCTTTTTAGTTGTTTATCAGACAAGAGAGGCACTGCACAGGGCTGAGGCAAGAGGTGACTCCTACAGCTGTCAGTCACTGGGTCTGCATCTGGCACATTTGATCCAGTCACTGAAATAAATCATATTCCTTGCTCTTGATGGACCATACCTGCCTACAAACATGGAACAATGAGTATTTTTCAACCTTTAAAAAACTATTTGGGTCTAGGGCAGTAAAAGGTTTTGGGGAAAGATTTGGTTTGGCTCTCATTTTTGGTGAGTTCAATTGCCATGCCGTTGCCTACAGCAACACGCAAACAGCCAACAAGAAAGCATTTCCCATAAGAGGAAGGGCTCCTTCCCACCCTTTGCAGTTTCAGCTGATTATGCTAAAACATGATCCCATATCTGCCTGTCTATTTTTATCCCAGGGCCCAGCAGCTGATGAACCATGCCAGGGTTTAATTCTTCAGCACTGGATGATGCAGGAATCCAGGGGCCTGAATGCAAGTCTGATTTGAACAGGTCAGAGCATCTTTAGTTTCTGCCTGAGTCAATTAGCACCCCATATCAATTTGTGCTAATTCCCAGCCTATGCAACTTTTCCAGTCCTCTTATGCAAACCAGGCCTGGAAGCAAACAAGCAGTGAGTGACCCAGGAGGCTGGTACAGGGCTGGGTACTATTGTTCTCAGGCCATGCATTTCAGTGCTCTGTTTGTTCATAGTGTAACTCTAAAAAAAATGACAGGCCACAACCCTAACTACCTCCTCAGGCTTAATTATTGTAGCCTTTGTACTGCTCTAGCCAGTGTAGAAAAAGAAGCATTCATGGGTCTTTCGCTACATTAAGATTCATTGGATTGTTTCTCACAGTTCCTATAAATATAAAGGAAGAAAACTGAAGCAGAATGACAAGGGGCTTTAAAGTCAAACCCCTTCTGTAGTCACAAATTGTGTCATGAAATCAGAAATGCTTTGGTAACATTATCGTGGGAATGCGGAAACTGACTTAAAAATCTAGCACATTTAGGAGCTGCATCAGGGTCCTTGAAAGGAAGATTCAACCATGAAAAATTTAGTTACATCACACCTGTACTACTGATCTGTTAATTTTAAACTATTTGAGTAAAAATGGGCTTAAGCTGTGAAACTCAGGTAGATTTCCAACACCATGGCTGGTCAGTGATGCAGTCTTGGATTTGGTGTACTTCATGTTAGTCTATTCTTAAGCAAATTAGTAAAATGAAGATCTAGTGTTACAGGGTGAAGTCATGACTAAAATTAACAGCAAAGAAAGGATAATGAGGAATTTATTAAAACCACCATTTTAATATAGCTCAAAATTTGATTTAAATTGGATGCAAGACCTGGGAGAGTTCTTACACCTCCAGGGCTCCCAGCCCTGTCTGCTCAGGCTGTCGTCATATTGGGCTGCAAGGAACTGAGGTTTGAGATAATATTTTTCATTCTCTTTTTAATTATTATTTCACTGTATGTAATCAATAGTTGTGTGATATTACTATGTAATGTTCATAATGTGGTGTCAGGTGCAGAAATACTTTTATTTTCTCTTTAAAGGATTACAGCTGATTCCTTCTTCTGCAATACGACTGAAATCATTTTTAGTCAGGTTTTTTCTAAGATCAAAATTTGTCCTAACTGTAGTGTTACGAAACCACAAGTCAAACCCTAGGACAAATTTATGGAGCCCTCCTTAAGGGTATTACATTTTATTTGTGTGCAGGGACTAGTAAGCAGAAGTGAAAGGAAGATTTGGAATTACTAATTTGATGTTGTGATTTTGATTAATTTGATATTCTGTGATTCTTGACTTGGTATAAATACAAATTTTCCTGAGGGCATTAATTCTGCTATGTGGTCTGAGGGGAACTGAGCTGAACAACACTTTCAGCTTCAGTAAGAAAACATCAAACCTCTCAACAAAAACTCCTCCAAGGTGGAACTCTTTTTACATTCACTTACCTATGATTTTGGGGATTGTGAAGAGCACCATCTAGTGATAATCAATAATGTCAGTATCATGAAAAGGTGATTATTTGAAGTGGACTTAAAGGCACACTGCAAATTACTTACCAAAGGGGCTGTGGGGGGCTCCAAAGAAACAGTGTCCTAGTTGTGGTTTTCAAATGTCAGGTACCTTCCCTCAGATACCCCCAAAAATGCACAATGCATCTAAAGACTGATTTTGACTAACAGTATGAATACCATGAGATAACAACTTTAATACTAATTTTTTTTTCAAAAGCTAATTTTGTAATCTTACTATGCATTCCATAATGAAACTCTCCACTTTTGTGAATGGCTTATTTTATATTGATCAGCATAATATACTTATTCAACTGGCTGACAATTTAGGTGAAACACTTCTAATTTCCTAGATATCCTTTTTCTTTTTTTTGAAAAGCCAACAATTCTGAAACTTTGGTCTCTTTTTCTATGAATGATGTCTAACAGCTGCTCCTTCATGAGGATCTTAGGCATTAAATACTATCACATGTTGGAATTTGCTTAAAACATCCATGCTTAATGATAGTTTTTCCTAATTTGAAGGATTTTGCAAGCAAGTCTTACACTATCCATCCTGCAAGTATAATTTCAGCAGAAAGCTCATTATAAATACATGATAATAAAGAAAGCTATTTATCCCTTTCAGATTACTTCCATATGCATCCTCTGTAATTAAATCAGTGGCTTATGGCAACTGGCCTTTGAAGTGATCTCTGCAAAATAGGAAAATGTAATTTGTGGAACAAAATGCTGATCACTCTATTCCAGACACATCTGTTAAGCTCTAGTAGTTCAGAAATTTCTGTGCTGAGAGAGTTTGTGTAAGTAGAAAGTTTCCCGTATTTCTTTCAGTCCAAAGGAAAATCAGTGGAAGTGATGGCCAGTATTCTAACCAAATAGCAAGGTTTGAAGTAAGAGGCTTTTTTTTCCCACAATTTGCAGTGAATTCACTGAAACTGATGTTTAAGTAAGTGTCTGTACTTTTGTATTTAAATAGAAATACTACAGTGAGAATGATGAGAGAAAGCAGAGCAAGAATTCCTGGCAGAGAAGATGAGGGTTTAGAAGGTAAGTAGAGAGATTACTGTTTCAGGGGTGGTGGATGAATAAAGATGTCAGAACTCATTATGTGATTCCCCTTGATAGCAGCACATCTTGGGAACACCTCCTGTTACACAGGTACAGACAACAATTGCAATTATTGCTGCACACTTCTCCATGGAGGTGCTTTTTTTTACAGATGAAAAGCAGGACCCTTAGAACCTTTCCAAAGGGATGCCACTTAAAGTGTTGGAGACACATCTACAAGGTGAGTGTGTCAAAGAGTTACAGACTTGTCCAGCCACACCTGTGCCTGCTAGAAAAGTGTCACCCCCAGCTGCCTGGCACTCCTCTCCCTTTCCTCCTTCCTCTCCTCGCCTGGGGACTTCTACACTTCAAACCTGACAGATAAACTGCTCGTAGGACTGTTGCCCGAGCTGTCAGGCAAAATGAGGTGAGTTAGCAAAGCCCTGAAATCTACATTGTTTAGGGAATACCATTCATCCAACACAGGTCAGTCTGTTTGCACAGCTAAAGAAAGTGAGAGGGCAGTTACTAGGAGTGCCTTCAACCAGTAAACATTTGCAACTGAGAGATATGGCCACTGTCTAAATTTTTTCCTTAGCTTACACTGATACATTATCAGTCCTTTAATTCATGGCTTCTACCTTCTAGTGATGTCAGTCTACTCCATACTATTAGCAATCAGTTCTTTCTCTTACAAATAAGCAGATTGAAATGCCTTCAGCTCAAGTGAGTACCTTTGTCCTCACACAGACTTCCAAAACAGTTTGGAAAAGAAATATATCCAATAATTGCCAAATAACTTGAATAAAAGTTGTGTTATATAACTGTGTTATCACAATACCGCGAAGTCTAAGGTGATTTTTTGTTCCTTAGAAGGAAATTACTTCTGCTAGACACCGAAATCTGTACTAAATAGATCCATAACAAAATCTGCTACACTCTTCCCAATGAGGATTTTTATTCATGATATCTGCTTCCAATTAAATAACTGCACTATATTATATGTACTAAGGTCCAATACTTTGTCCTTTGAAGTCAATGGCAAAGCTCCCAATGAGTTCATGGGACAAAAAGTAACTCCTCTGTTAAGGCTTCCTTTAGTGAAATTTCAACTGTTAGGTTTTTAAAACAGATCTTCAGCTTTGCCATCTTTTTGCCATCAGACAACAAACAGCTCCTGGTATTCCTGTATTAGGCAGAGAGTACTAGGAAGGACAAATTTAGTCTTATTAAATTATGCTCCCCTGTCATTCTGTTTGCTTTTCTTTCTGTTGCTGTCAAGAGCCACAATGGACATATGGCGTCTTACATTATTTTTATTTTAGGAACTTTCTAGAAATTCAATATTGCACCAATTTATGCCATACGTGGCATGTTTATGCTATGGAGAAGGTATCAAATGAAACCAGCAGTATAGAACACCACAGTTTATCTACTTTCTTCATAGTTTTGACCCATCACCAGTTCATCTGCTAATGAATTGTAATATAAAACATGCTTCAAAACCCAAAGCGTCCAGTTTCCTAAACAGGACCATATTTCTAAAATATACTTACAAAAAGGCAAATTCATAAAATAATGATTCCACAGCTACTCAGTCCAGGATGACATAACTCTTTTGAAGCAAAAGTTTACCCGTGCATTCAGTGCCCAGTCCCAGATGTAGGAAGATGTAAAACAAAGAAAGATACTGAAAGCATTCAAAATCTATTTCTATAAAGTAGAATGACAACTTGCAGACAGAGTTTCCCTGCTAAATAACAGAGGGACGGTCTGTGCTGTGCCCAGGACTGCAGAACATTGTAGAGAGCTCAGGTTCTAAACCTGTTGTCTCTGGCAAGCTTAGGGTCAGGTTTTTGTTATAATTTACCTTCCACATAAGCCCCAGATAAGACAGAGACAGACACTTTTCATTGTTCTTAGCCCTCCACTGAGAGCAAGGTCCTGAGGTGTTTTGAAGATTTTTGGCCTTTGTGCTCAACACCAGGTTGCATTGGCAGGTAACCAAAACACAGCACTTTGATTTTGGTGCACACTGAAGTGTTCCAGTCTAAATGTGTGTTAGTCTGATCCTAAAATTCCCACTGACTATGGCCTACAGATTCTAATGAAATGGTGCAGATGGGATAAATTACTGAAAAGGAAAAAAAAAAATCCTCTGTGTAACTTGTATACATTAGGTTTGAAATTTAAAACCTTCAAGCTGATATCCAGGGGTTTTTTTAACTGCCAGTTTTGTTCCAGCCAGTGCTCATGAGTATGGTTGCAGTCTAAATGTTATCATTTCTGTCCGTAGCTAATTCCATGCACAGAATTGCTCCTCTTAAAGCTGAAGCTATCTCTGCTAATCCTTCTCCCTTTATAGAGTGCTAAGCATTTAACTTATGAAATATGGTCCCTTAAAGTAATTTCTGCTCTAAATATTTCTGCTGCAAATAGGAAGAACACTGAGTTCTGCATTTGAAAGAAAAGCCTTCCATGATATGCATAAATTGTTAGCTGTGTCTTCTTAAACAATCAGACACAGTCCTAGAGGACTCTGTAAATAACATTTCCTGTTGTGATATTTTAATGTGAACTTGGCCAGAAGTCTTACTATTACATTCACATTCACAATAAGAATGCCATGGCAGAAAATACAGAACAATGACAAGTAATAATGTCTTGCAGTGTATTTTAAATGTTTCCAGCAAAGAAAGTACAAAATGAAGCAAAGCTCTATACAAAGCAGCTAATCTAATTTAGTAGGAATACACTGTTTGGTTTTTTTAGTTTGTTTAGTTTAAATCAGTGTGAATTATGGTGTTCATTCTATTCCATTGAAAACTCGCCTAGCGTGAGAGCTGGAAAAGCATCAGATGGAAATAAGAAAAATGAATAATACCATGTATCCAAAACATGCTTGTGTTTGGCTAAATACTGTGGGAAACATGCCAAAACCAGCTTGGTATGTAGTCCTGTATATCCAAAATGGGGTATACACTCATGTGCTAGTTCAGCCTGCAGCTTTTAAACAACTAGATGGGACTCCAGTGCTAAACATTTCCACTGGCACAATGGCTGGAATGCAAAAGCTTGAAAGTAGGGAACACAGAGCCCTAACCTTTAGAAGAACATGTAAACCTTTGTTGGTTAAGGTGTATGGATATTCTTCTTCATTATTTTTCCAACTAGAGCTGGCAGATTTTTCAGAACAGAGTTATTTAACAGTGGTCTATTTTAGCTAGATTTGGGGAACCTTACTTTGTTCCTCTGTTTTGCAAAATAAATTAACTTAAGCTCCAGAAAGCCCAGCTTCTTCCAGTCTGTCAATGGAAGTTTGGTAATTTACTTAAATACAAGCTGAACTGTGTCATCTAAACACGTGCAAAAATGTATTGGTTATTAAATTGGGTCAAGGCTTGTAACACAGTCAAAATCCTCTCCAGAAAAGAAAGATAAACCCGCAATCTTCCACATAACTCCTTATGTGAAAGAATATGTAAATATGCCTTACGGAGTTTTCTGAATATCAGCAAATACCAGCTGTGTCAGATGGTCTGAAGGGTGAATTTGAGAATAAGAGTCTGTCCAGGCTGCAAAAACAAACTATGTTTGGAAATGTATTAGCCAGCAAATTTAAACAAACAGTTTTAAATACAGGCCAAGTAAGGCAAGTTGTGTTTAAAATCATGTAGGTTGACTCTGGACTCCCCTCCTTTGCTGCCAATGTTCAAATAGAACTTTTTAAACATTACTTGTTCTGCTGATTGCTATTGCATAAAGTTGTGCTCAAATCCTGCTTAAAATGTTAAGTGATACAAACGAGGCAGGGTCAGCAGGCTGGTGTTAGCTCAGAGCTGAGCCTTCACCCAGCTTGCTGAGAACTGCAGCTCCAAGCAGTGCTGGAGAGGAAGATCCTGCTTTCACCAACCTCATTTACCTGCCCGCAAGTGGGAGCAACGTAAGGGCATGACAACAACTTTAAAAAGGTTTCCTTAAACCCAGCAGCTGTGATGTCTTTTGTGGATAGACCAACTGCTTGCTTATATATACATTACAGATATATATGTGACAGTGGTGTGTTTTGCCTTACCTCAGGATCCAAAGCATAACTGTGCTAACATCTCTCACCCCTTATTTTTTTTCTGCTAGACAAAATGTAGAGGTCAAGTTGATAAAAACCTCCTATGGTTGTTCTGTATGTGTTAAGTATTTTGGATAAACGCAGAGAAAAAGCCAAACTACCACAACACAGCCCATCTCTGTTTGCATCCAATGTTAAGTAATCAAATTCAGATATTACTTTTCACGCTGTTGGTTCAGGTTATTCCCAAGTCTTTGAGTTTCACTTTCTGTTTCAGGTTCCAATGAATCCAAAAGAATGAAACTGAGACTTGACATCTGAGCATGTTGATGGACAAGGGCACAAGTCTAAAATGACCAGGCAGCCAGTTGTCACATGTCCTTACTACGCCAAAGGTAAAGCTACCATTTGGGAAGCAGTAGCAGAAGCCTCCTTCTTCTCCATCCATTCATTTTTAGTTTTAGGACACTGATCTGGATTTCCTTTGAAGTGCTTATAGGTCAGAGTTATGTAACTTGCCTCCCTTAAATACTAGAATTATTTGGTTAAGTTCCCAAACATGAATTACCAAGACTTTGACAGATAGAAACAATGAGTTCATCAAATTACTGTTTGGTGCAGGTAACAAGTATGCTCAGAATAATGTACCTCTCTTGCAAAGATGATTTAACAGAGCCACATTGTAGATGAATATAAATCTAGTCATCTGTAGGACAACTCCATTAAATTACCTGTTGCAAAAGACATGCTTCTTAAAGGATATAACTTTACTGTTAACTATTGTTAAGTATTCATAGAAAAAGTCACAGGACTTTCTTTCAAATGGTAGTTCAGAAAATCAGCCATTATTTTGTACATATTTTAAATTAAAAACTGCAAAGAAATTTTCAAGAAGAAAAACCACAATGATATTCATTTTAACAATATTCTTTCATATATCTCATGGCAAAATGGAAAGGACATCATGCATTGCTTGGCTTTTCTATATCTTGAATACTTATCCTTCTAGGGTCACTACTACACTGAGATTTCCCATCTCCTGCTTTGGGAAAGCCATCCTACAGCACAGCACTGACATGGTTTAGTGAAGGGATACACACAGCCACTGTTTTCCTTAGCTTTGGACTCATGATTAAACTTTTTTTTTTTTTAAATAACATCCATTTATTAGATAACTTTATTAGCACAGTGTGTCTTTGGACATAGCATTTAAAACACTTTATTTAATATTGTGTCAGTATATAGAATATGCAAATTCTTTTTAACTGAAAATAAGTTTCTATGAATTATTTGCAACATTATCACACTTCACAAAGTAAGTTGGTGTACAGAGCCAGGGTTTAGAGGAGGAGAATTGTTAAATACTTCTTATACCTCTACAGAAAATGATTCAAATTTATATCTTGAATAAGGGTTTAAAATAGACAAGCAGAATGAGACTTTCTCATACTTCAGAAAAATCCATTTGTAGCAATCTCACACTTACAAACTACTGAAAGGTCTTGAATCTAATTTAGTGGTTGTAAAATTATTTGCTAATGAAAATTGCCTGTTTTATCTGCAAAAGTACTTGTGAAAAAGTACCGGGATATTTTTTGGTAAAAAGTTTGTCTTTATCTCTCCATTAACACTTTTCATGGTAATGGAAGACAATAATTTGCCTAATACTCTAGGCAAAACTCTCATGGATTTCAGTGGGAATGCTACTTGAATATATGCTTTAGGAGCTAGGCAGAGGGGGAATGATTTACATATTCTTTATAAATGTAATAAAACTATTTAAAAATGCATAAAACAACTGGTAAAAGCTGCTTCTGGCAGTGAGCTGCAGTGACTTATCCCATCAGCTTTAAAAACAATATGTTTCCTTCATCAAAGATTAGGTAGTGTGAATCTGAGAATTTTGTGTCCTGACATATTTTAATGGATTATCTCATTTCCCTCTATTTCATATCCCTCTCCACTTTACATTTGTATCACAATCACTTCTCCACTCATGACCAGAACCTGAGTGCTCTTCCCTCCATTCTGACAAGGGTAAGCAACCCCTCTGGAGCCTTTCCTTTCATTTACAAGAAAACAAACTTGTACCTGTGATTTTTTTTCCTAAAAATACATATTATTATTTTCTAAATAATATGTGAGTCTATTTTCCTGGGGATTTTCCCATTAGAAAATACTGTGTATTATTGAATATTCAGTAATGCTGTGTATTACTGAAAATACATTGAAGTAAGGTACAACTACCTCAAGTCCCAGCCTTTAGTTCCCAGGCTTAAGTGGCCCAGTCTAGGACGTGGACATGAAAAAAAAATACCCAACCCACCCTTGAACAGACCGTTTTTATCAGAAAAACTAAAGTTTAGTCAGAATCTTGTGGTTTTTACTTTTGATTTCATGTTATCAAGGCCACTTGCCTTTTACCGCTGCTCACCATTTTTTAAGTTCTAGCTACAAGTTTTCACTAGATGGCAGGAGTCCACTGCCATCTGGTACCGGAGGCTTTACTTGCACAGCAACAGTTGCCCACCAGTAGGAAAAAAGTGAACATGTTCCAGTTTTGCAAAACATAGAAAAGCAAACAAAAAATTTAACAGGAATGAGAAAAATTATTCAGACCCTCAATAAATCACAGTTCTGTTACTGGATATGGCTGATATGATAGGCTGGAAATAAGTGAAAAGAGTAGTGAACGATGTTCTTTTCTTGACAGAGGAGCTAAAAGGACCTTCTCCTATAAAATGAGGTCGATTTATTGTTTTTGCTGTTTGTGAAAAAGTTAACTGATACAGTAAATTAAAATTAACTAATAACCAAGTGCATTGACAGCCTGAGAAAGTTACAGCTTAAATACTAAACTACTGATCTAAAATACCATATCAAAGTAAAACCAACACACTCAGTGTACTGCATTATCAAGATACTGGAAGGAGATAAGGCACATTTTACGTTCTCTCTCTCAGTTTAACTAGGCAGAGCTCACGGGCTGGTGATCAGTCCCCGAACTGTTTCAGCCAGTGGTATTTTGCTGAGCTCAGAGCTCTGGACAAAATTTGTCTCTCTTGTCTATGAGAACAGAATGCAGCTCCATACAGTTACATAAGCCTTAATAACCGTGACAAATCTTCATTGTTGCACTGGAGTGAGCACTGATTTTTAACAAAACTGTGTCTGAAAAATTATTTCTGCAAGCTGGGGCTACCAGTTCCTCTTTTTAATTTATTGTAAACTTCTACTGTCGGTCTTGCCCTCTTTCTATATGTGCAGATAATTTGTAAAGTGTCCAGTAATTTTCAGCGTTGCTCATGAAATATAAGAGGGGATGTTTGGCATCTATTAAAGCTGCTTCTGAGACTGGATAACTTTCCAAAACCAGAGATAAGTCAGTGTAATGCTTTCCAGGATTCCCAAAATAGTAAGAACATTTTCTCATGATAAAACTGTATTTATTCTATGACCAGAGTAGAAAAACTATCATAAATAGATGACTGAAGCAGCATTTCCTAATATGAGATTGAGTTTTGCGATGTGCCGAGTGCACTCAAAGCCAGAGAGCGAAGGCAACAGGAGCTCAAAGGCACACATCATGTCACAAGTGAAACACTCAGCATCTAACGAAACCCTTGCAACACTTGCAAGCAACCAAAAAGTAATAATCCCTTTTTATTGAAACCGACAGAATCAGCACCTGTAGAATCTCTGCAAAACGCGTTAGCGAATTCAAACAAGCATCACAACAAGATCCACACCAACCATTTCCCTGGAAGCAGGATGGATTTAAACAAAGTGGTCCTGTCATCCGTGCCCACAAAATTCCAACATCTTTCTGTCATGCTCCTACCTTGGCGATTTGCAAAGGCTGCTTCTGCTCCTTGCCCCCTTGCAGCCTGAAGCCCCACGGCGCCCCTCCGCTCATAGCAATGCAGAGATAATCCCCTGTGCCCATTTTCCTGGTGCAGTTGGGCAGCATTCACACACGGGAGAACATGAAAAACTTGGCTTGCAGATGTTCAGCGAGCTGCAGATCCGTCTGCCGGGCAGAGCTGGAGACCCAGAGCACCACACTGTTGCTGCTGCTGTGTACTGCACGAGCAAATGTAGTCATTGAGGGGAATGGAAGAGCTCCCTCGCACCGAGGGCACAGCCCACTCTTTCGTCAGATTCCGATGCTCAGCCCACCTTCAAAGTAAAGTAAGTGAACTTGGAGCTTAAGGGAGTGCAGGCAGAGACTCTGCCGTGAGGCAGAGAAGGCTGGCTTTAAACATGACTCTCCTGCCAGCTAAATCAAAACAACAGCAAAAAGAAGAGTTACAATTTGGGAAATAAGTTTATTTTATTGGTAAAATGGTAAACGGTGCCAGATGTTTTAAACTCTAATTTACTCATTTCTTGCCTTTTCACTCCAAGCAGAATCTCAAGTGAAGCACCACATACATCCTCTGAATAACCGATTCACTTAGACAGAACTGGCTTTAGGATTTTCATCTCTGCTCTGCATGTACTTTCTACAGCACTGCAGGCATGCAAGCAAAAAAAAAAAAAAAAAAAAAGGAAAAAAACTTTATCATTTCCCTGTCATAGAATTTCTTCTTTTTCTATTTCTCTCTGGCCTCAGTATAGCTTAACATGTAGTGCAATTTAGCGATAACCTGATTACTATTGTACTATTGGACCCTAATATTACCTGTTCTTATGAAGCCTGTTGCCTTTCCTACCAGAGAGGGGAAGAGGGTTAGTAAAATGAAGTATCAGATCTACGGATGCTATCAATGGATGGTTTGCATTGTGTTGTTAAAGGGGAACCTTACTATAAGCACCAAAAAAAAGCAAATTCATTGGGGTGGTTTAAGAGGTGACTGTTCTTCAGCACAGGATGAATACACCTGTAGCTGGGTGTTAACAACTGAACAGCATTATCTCCTATCACCTCAGCCCAAAGTCAGGTAGCCTGCTTTAAATCACGTTGCATTTTGAACTATGCTGGTTCTAAAGGAGAGTGTTCAGCAGGTGAGCAGTCTTTAATGTCTGCACAAATTTCTGAAAGAAGCACCTTTTGCTTTGAGACCCAGGGTACTGGGACACAGCTTCTTACAGTATAAATTCACTCAGTGTTTCCTCTCTGAAATGTTGCTCGTTGGCTGGTTCTAAGCTGTCACAGATGTTGGGGATATAGGAAACCCTCATCATTTAAATTACATGACTTTGCATCTAAGCAGCAGGGTAACCACTGAGGGCTTAAACCTATCCAGTGCATCTGGCAATTAAGTGACCCCTTGAGTGATGCTTCAAAGACAAAGTATCAAGGTAGAGAGAGGATCTTCTGTCAAACTGAAATATTCTGGCTGGAAAAAGCAGACAGACTTTTAGGAGCCTGTGTCCTTCATTAGTCCTCTAAGACACTAAGGTAACACAAAGCCTGGGTGGGGAGAAGATCCCTGATCAAACAGAGGAAAATGTCACTCTCTCAATAACAGGATTTAGTAGGAGGAAGAGTGCTTGC